ATAGAAAAGACCGTCCCATTGAAAGAGACCGTTTTGTGGCCGTCCCACAGCCGTCCTCGTCTATATTTTTAAAACAGGCTTATTTATAAGCTCGTTTTAAAAAATTGAAATAGTTCGATGACCGTTTTAAAGAAGATATAGTTATAGATAAAAATTATCTTTTAAATGAAATTGTTTTAATAATAATTTAAGAAGTTCGACGCCAAGATATTTCTCGGTATCGCTACCACGGCTTGTATATCAACGCTTTAATTTTTTTATTATCGAAATCGATCGATTTAGCAAAAGTTCACCCGCGTGTAATAACCGCCTTTGCAGCTCTCGCCAAGAGGGGGTAGTCGTACAGGGGGAGGGGGGGGTGTAATTAATAGTTAAGGTGGTAGAAGGTAGATTAGCAAGGAATAAAAAGAGTATTTGCTTACTAATTCAGGTTCCCAGGGACGGTTTTAAGCTCAGGGACGGCCATGGGACGGCCATGGAACGGTCTTAAAACGCTCGAAGACGGTCCCAAGACGGTTTTTACACGAAAAGACGAGTATTTAGAAAAAACGATTTAATCGAATAAAATAGTTTTATTTTAGCTACGATTTAAATAATTTAAATCGTTTGTTTTCAAATTCTATTCAATCTTAAGTATAGGCCTAGGGTGATCCACCAGCCATGCCAACTTATTAAAATCGTCCCTAAAAGAGATGGTTATCGGACGATCAGCTGACCGTCTAAATGCTCCTGCATTCCCCTTTAAGGTACCATTCACCGATGACTCAGCAACATTAGCTTAAACAGATCCAACTCGATTTTTTCGATAAGCTCGAAAGACTTTTATTTTTAGTTTTATTGCATACCGCTCTTTTGAAATATACGGCTTTGATTGTTATTGTTGTTGTTGTATCTGTTAACGTCGGGCGGGTATCCAAAACGCAATCCTTGGACCCTGGGGACCCTGGGGACCTCTTATGAGGTACGGCGACGTGCTAAGTAAAAGAATTATATACAAAGTACTATCTAATCGAGAGTAAAAACCTCGTTAAGGAAAATCTCTCGTCAAAGAGCTGATTACTTATAAACCTTGTAAAAGCAATTCATAATGCCGTGCGTCGAATGTTCTTTCGATAACTATCGACTACGCATACCTTTACGAGCGGCCTCGATCCGTATAATATAAACATCGTTCTCTTTCGTCGTAAAGCTAAAAAGGCTCGCGTTCGTAGCCTTTAAATAGAGCCGGTGTGTTTACAAAACGCTCTTTCGAAAGCGCGATGTCGTATTTTTAATCAATCGAACTAAGCCCTTTCCATCTTATCTTTTACATACGTTCCCCTTCTATCGCAAATCCTCTTATTCCTTTCAATCAATATGCCTGTTAAGTATAGATCGTAGTCGGCGTAGTATTCGAGAAGAAAAAGAGAAGTTCGGAACCGCCGGTAAAAAAAAGATCTCTCCGAAAAGACGTCGCATATCGATAATGCAATTTCGGCTTTCCAGACTCTTTGTTTCTCTTTCTATCGCAAGAGAAAGAGAGAAAGAGAGCTGAAGGTTCGTAGGGGGCACCTCGTACAGGTTAAGAATCGTAGCCCCCTTATACGGCTTTGATAGCCTTTTTAAAAGCTCAAGTCCCAAAAAAAAGAAAAGAAAAGAAAAAAGGATGCCCAGTGGATTTTTTAAGTGAATGACGCGTCTTTGTAAAGAATGAACTACCTAAGCTGGCCCGTGCACCATACTCATATAACGCGTTAACGCGCCGCGGTTACGTATCTTATTAGAATAAAGCCACGTGACTAGATGACTCATCATAAATGCCGACATGTGAAGTAGCTGCCAAGCCACTTGGCTAGATTAGGCTTAGTTATTTCATATTCAATTCGGGCCGACCCGCTCCGAGAGGTTCAAAATGATGAAATACGGGCAATTAAAAAGCTTGGCATCGAATAAATGCTGCGGAAGCCTGTATAGAATAGTCTCACGTGATTGAATGACTTATCACTACCACAGCCCCTGGAACTTATCTTAGGTCACCGTTGGTGACAATCAATTCTCAATGCCACATGGCGGTCATTCTTGTTGCTCTAGAGTAGCGATCTAAGCTGGGACCGTCTCCTTCTCTGCGGCATCTGCAGTGGCCGTTGGGACAGCAGCCGGCACAGCCTCATCCACTATTGGAACAGCTTCCGATCCAATGCTTGGACTGGTGCCGCCCTTGATGTAGTTCTCGCTCTCTCCGATGTGCTTTCCTCCTAACACCCAGCGAGCTTTTTGCTCTCTATGCTTCTCCTCGCAAAAGTTCACGAAATTTGGCCAGTAAACCTGGTGATCGTAGTCAAATTCCAGGTCTCCATGGAACTCATTCCACAGCTGCTGCGGGGGAACATGCAGTCTCATATCATCATTGAACTTGAGCTTTTGGCGTGTAAGGGGATCAATAAATGGTGTAATGAGCTTGAAGAAGGTCGTGACAACCCATGGAACTGTATCCTTGTGAGTAACCAATTGTAAGTTTCAACTTTCATGGACGTACTGTTTATGATCAGAGCCCTCCCGAGCCTTTCTGGGTAATGAGTCTGGAGGATATTCAGAACCTCTTTACCCTGACTAACCCCCGGAGCGGTGTTCGACCTGCTCTTACTAGACTTGAAATTGATCAACAGCGCCAAAGTCTCTTGCCCCGGACCCGTAAGACTTATCACTCGTTCTAGCATAAATACCAAGTGCTGAACCTGTCTCGGACCTGCCTCGGTATTCTGTCTTCCAGGATTCAAGTACAAGCAAGGCCGAGCTTCGTTGTCATAGCCAACCACAATCTGCTTTCCGGTCTCATTCTCCGGGGAGATGTAGTCACTAGTGAGATCTCCAACTCCGTATTCCCTCCTCCAGGTCAGCGTACCCAATAATCGCTTTGCAGCTTCCGCCGTTGACCATTTTGTAGCCCGCAGATATCGTAGAAGGCATTCCCGAGTCAACCACATCATTTCATCCTCAGTGACCGGGCCACCCTTCCCTTTTGTTGATGGGATCTCCTTCCATGACTTTGCAGTCTCCAGTAGGGCATTGTATTTCTCTTGTTGTTCCGGAGTAAGCTCTACAGCTTTCGCGGGTACGGCGGACTTGACGGGATCAACGAGTGGTGTTTTCAGAGGGGTGGCATCTTGCTTTTCTCGAAGCGATGCCGCAACAGAGGAATTTTGAGACATCGAAGTGTATGCCGGAGGAGATGTTTCTGTATTGGCTTCGAGCTTTACATCTCCGAGCTTCTTCTCCTCGCGATCTGTGGCTTCCCCGGACGCCGGCAAGGCCGGTGACATTTTGGAAAGATGCGTTGGAAGTTCGGTTGCAGGGGCCTGATAAGTCAGTCAGTCATTTGAACTCCTCCAGTGATATGAAAGACAGACAATTAATATCAGAGGCACAGCAGTTGAAAAAATTTCCGAGGATGCTGCGAGACTTGAGAAGATTACCAATATCTCAGCCTCGTCCTCTTCCGTTTGGGGTCAGGCATCGCATAAATAGTTTATCCGATCATAGTTTCTCCGGGTACAGAACGATGAGTATCTGAAAGAACAACAAGTCAGAGATAATTGAGACTTCCAGTCAGAAACTTGTCACACAAAGGATTCTTATGTTTGTCCATATAAACACACCTCCCAAAGATCTTCCCGTCTGCATATCTTATCAGTGTTCAAAAACTAACCAGCATACCAGACTTCCATAGCTGGCCATATCAACAATTAAATACATGTTGGCAGGCCTGCCTATACATGAGCGTAAAGCTCTTAGGGAATCCCGGCCCTATTTCTGTGTAGGCGTCTTCATTTAATGCCAAATTAAAGGCTTGGGGCATGTTACTCCGCCGTCATCTCACCTTCGTCGAGTCGTTCGCTGTGCTCCCCAGATTCATGATTTCACTTTTTTCTTTTTTCTTTTTCTGTTCTCATATTCATACCTTCTTCCAAACCCTTGATCAAAGGGCTCTTTGCATAATTTCCCCAAGCTGCAATATCGAATGGTAGAGCGATCTCGAATGCGCCAGTCTTAATAGCTCTACGATCCATGGCCCTGAACAATGCCTGCCACCACATGGTGATTGGCGCGCCCCCAAGCTCGAGTTATCAGTACTGAGCATTTGGATGGCTCTGTATCACAGTAAATCTAGAGCTTGGAGAATGTTGATTTTTTTCCCCCATTTGATAGCTAAATGAAGTCAAACTATCCTGATCACCTGAACCAGTCAGGCAGTTCATTTCAACCCATAAATGTCAAGCCAGCCTTCCGCCATGCAAGCCCTTGCTAAATATGCCCATGCTGCACTCGCAGCCTTCGTGCTCTTCGTTTATCTTATTTTAAGCTTGCTTCATCCACAGCCCTGAGTCTGCAGTAAGTGACATGCCAAATCGGCTTCCATATTTTCAAGTACATAGCTGACGCCAACTTAACCTCAGGGCTCAACCTTTACGGGGGGTGGGGGTTGGTACAATTGCCGACTTCAGCATTCTAGCTTTGCCTCTCTCTCGGCGCTTCTCAAGGTCGTGGGAGTGTTCGTGCTATTAGTCGAGATGCCCCCAACGATGCTCGTGTCAAACCTAGCAATGAGAATACGGACCGAGAAGACTCGATGCTGGAAGATGCGCTCCTGGAGAAGCAAGACGATGATCTCCTGGGACGATCTTTGGGGGGCCATGGTCAGGCTTCTAAGCACCTCGGTATCGCAAATCGAGAGTGTGTTCGAAGATGGAAGAGTCCTCGGGGAGGAGCAGCTATACAGATGGTAACATGATAGGAGCAGCTATACAGATTGTAAAATTATAGGAGCTCATGCCATTAAACACGGCAAGCAAGGCGTTAAAAGGAGAATGGCCAATGGAGGTGTGACGACGCAGCTGCAGGAACGCAGTATCGTGCAGCAATCGCCTAGCAATACCATCCACCTCTAGCAATACCATACACCAAGACCTTCCCAGCGTTACAGATGTCGATTCAGGCCAGACATCGACCCAACCAAGTTCGACCCTGACTGTGCACCGTGAAAAGCGATTTCACAAGAGGCCTCGTTGGAAGATGCACCTCCAAATGCAAATGCGGCTCCCCGAGGCTCAACGGTGAAAGATGCATTCTCAAAAGCGAAAGCGGCGCAAAAGAACACGACACCAGAAGATCGCGATAGACGGCTACGCCACTGAAGGATGAAGTAACTTGGTAACTGGCTTCTTTACGGGCCAATCGCCGCGATCATGGCTACTTTGATTCCTTCCGCAACATGTGAAGCTCGATTAGCTACCCAGGATCCTGTGATCCGTCAGTACGCTGTGGATATTGACGGTCCTGGCCGACGTCTTCTGAACCAAGTACATAACGAAATCATGTTTCGTACAGCGAGCGCTACTTTGGCTTACAGAACATGCAGATATGTGTTTTTGTGCCTCTGTGTGAGATGGGCGGCTGCTAGGAAATGAGGTGTCGATACGAGCTCGATAATCGAGACTGGGAGGTGCTAGTTGATCATCTGTACATTTGGCCCCTTATCAGACTTTGCAGATAGAAGCGTACCTGTTCTTCGCCCTTGAAGGCATTAAATTAAAGTTATGAAGTTGGGATCGGAAAGCTTGAGAGGGAGAAAAGAGGCTAGAGGGTTAAGGCAATTCCAAGGTGGCTGCCAGATGAACGACGGCGAAAGCTACGGGGAGGTTAGGCTACAACAAGACCCTATCCACTTTTGAACTGTCGCCGCGATGCTTGTATGCTACCAAGGTATCTGTAACTGATTTAGCTATGCATTTCAAGATGCACGAATACATCTCAGAATCGCCGACCTTTCATTATTGACTTTCGGTTAGGGATTAACCGAGCTCAACGACTCTCGGTTAGAGGGTAAGCGGGCCAGCTTATTCCAGGCAGGACGTTGGACTCACTCACCCCTTGACGACGAAACCAAAGTCCAACGACAAGAGATCATCTTGATTCTCTCTACACCAATTGAAGTGATGAGCCCTCTCCACCAGCGACTGTTTCTTAACCCCCGCACAGAGAGAGACCACTGCTATCAGGACCGCTGCAAAACAGCTGCTTCGGAATCATCGCACAGCATCTATAAGGACCAGGTAGAGAGAGACGAGGAGGAGGCGCACCGCCCGCCGGTCCGGTCAAAGGGCGGGTATTTCTCACATCTCGCGTCTTCCATCACGACGCATGCAAGTGCTCAGGACGACGCTCAGGTTCCCCCTGACGGGATCACACCGGTGCGTGGCCGGCCCCGGAGGCATGTTTTCTCTCGCCATCTCGCCGTTACACACCGTCTGCTGGAGGTAGGCATCGGTCTACCACCTCTCCGGATCCTCTCCTCGGCAGCCTACCCCAGCTCGCTGCATTTCGGCGCGCGTACCGATCATGCACGGTGTGGAAGGCAGGCAAGCAAGCAAGCAAGCAAGCAAGCAATACCAGACCCGCGGCGTATCACACCGTCTCGCTCCCTGGTTCAACTGTCCGCCGTCGAATCTGCTCCGCGGCAATCCTGCCGTGAGCTTCGACCGTGTCTTCTTCGCTGCTGTGCCGTGCTATCTATCTATCTCCAGGCCCTCAGACATGCAGAACTCGTGCCGACTCTGGAGAACGCCGGGCCTCGCGCAGCTTGTGATTCACATCCGCCTGTTCGACGAAGCAGGCACGTCGAGAGCCGATCGGTAAGAAGGCCAGCAAGGAGATGCCCAGCGTCGCCGCGGCGACGGTTATATTTTGTTTCGACGCCTGTCGCTTAGATACACTACCGAAGAGCTTCCCGAGGAAGAAAACCCCCCTTTTCTTTCTTCCCGAGTCCATCTCTTCTCCTGTCCCCCGCTGTTGACTCCTTCTCTGAGATCAAATCATGGAAGAGTTGCGCGAGAAAAATCACCCTTTTTGTTCCTAAGGCCCCCCCCGTGACTTCCGTCGGTTGTTCACTTACTCACTCACATCAAGACATTAACCGAGCATGTGACCCAGCCCCGGATGAACCCACCCCCCAACCCGGAGTAACCCCCGCTCCTCCCCCAATGTCCGACCGTACGTATATAAATCCCAAAAAAAAAAACAAGTTTTCTCCTCCCAGCAAGAACAGGAAAGTGATTTCCCACCCGTCTTTTCCTATCACACTTTTCTCAACCGCCGAGCCAGATAAGAAAGAGGTGTGTAGGTATCTACGTAATACCTACCTAGGCCAGGCCCGGCCGTCCGTCTCCCACCCGTCTGGACTCAGGAGCACGTTACTTTCTGTCCATACCTCTTGCGTGTCCGTCAGGTCAGGTCAGGTCGGGTTTTTATGCTTCGATACCCGTACAGTAATCCCCAGGGGCGATCTGATCCGATCCGATCCAGCACCGTACCGTAGATAGGAAATACCTACCGCACTCGTCTGGAGCGAGCCCCGGCCCCGGTGCGTAGCATTTTTTTACTTTGGGCTTTTGGCTTCCGTCTCTTTCCACCTCTCTGGTCAGGCTGTCGGCTATATGGTTCGATAACAGTAATCCCGCAGCGGATACGTACGTCGTAGATGGAGAGGAGCGATACCTAACTTGGTCGGGAGAGCGTCTGGATTCGGGAGGACTTTTTGTTTTTGTTTTTGTTTTTGTTTTTGTTTTTGTTTTTTTTTAAACTTTGGCCTTTCGTCTGGGTGCTGCTGCGTACCTACCTACCTGAGTTGTGTGGCCGGTTTATGGTTTGATAGGTACAGTAATCATCCAGTCGCGATAAGAACGGTCTTGATTAGTGAGAAAAGAAGACGTCGATCTTTCTGGGGGGGGGGCGCACGGGGAAGATAGGATAGCAGCGGTTCCCGTCGTCGTCGTCGTAGTAGTAGTAGTACTACTACTACTAAGTCTGCCCACCCATGCGTTGATCTTCACAATTTTAAAATTGGGGAGCGGGGGTGGCAAACGAGAGAGTCTGGTTGGCTGGCTGGCGGGGTTGGGATTCGCTCGCCTAAAGCCAGTAAAATTTGACTTCTGCATTGGGGATGATTGTCGGCATGGGGTGAACAGACTGACTTTTCCTGGCTGCACGAGTTACTAGGTAGGTAGTAGTAGTACTACTAGGTAGTAGTACTACTACTATACGTAGTAGTACGTAGTACGTAGTACTACTAGTAGCCAAATCGGCCGATCGCTGGCGATCCCAGATGTGACAGGGCTACCGGTAGCTACCGCTCGGTGGATGATACTATACTGGTACACCGTCCTACCTACGTCCTACCACTACCACTACCACTACGACTATACATTGGGGGCGGGGTGGTGGATCGCGGGAGGTGGGTAGGTTCCCATACTATCGAGTAATACAATCCAGGGAGACCAGCGACCTCGGAGTGCGAATGGGAGGAAAAGGCATGCGGGATGAGCTGGATGGGATGGCATGGGATGGCATGGATGAGATGGACAGGCCCGCTAGAAGAAATTAGCTTTTTTCTGAAGGAAGAAGCTTATTTCGTGGTAGCACAACGACCTGCACTACCTACCTAGGACGATGACTATTACTCACCACTAGCTCGGAAACCCTCTTAAGATTCCGAAGAAGGTTTTGATATTATTTTTTTCTTCTTTGCAAATCCTTATTTTGCTTATCTGATCAATTTCTTCTTCTTCTTCTTCTTCTTCTTCTGCTTCTTCTCCTCTCTGCGCTCCGCCGCCGCCCTTGTCGGTAGGTTGCATCGCGATACAAAATGCAAAAAATGTCACGCGTGCTCCTCGCCGGGCCCCACGGCGCGGTTGGTATGGATTAAATACCGCATCAATTGCACGCGGTAGTCAGGTGGAAAGGCTCCTTCTGCTCCGAGGAGGTGTTCATCGTGATTACTGTGCGAGCATCAGAGCCCGTGGATGTCGCGCCGCTTTGGGTATGCGGGGTGCAGATATGCATATGTTGGGTGCATGTACGTAGTACGTAGGATGTGTGCGATGCATCTGATCCGGCCCGTGTATGTCCTGAGGATGAGGGTCATGAGGATGATGATGCGCGAAGGAGAATATATATACATATATATATATATGTATATATATACACGCATATATACATACATATATATACATACATATATACATACATATATACATACATATATACATGCATACAGTACCTAGCATCGCCATGTTGGGAAACAGAGTTCTCGGCAGTCAAGAGAGAAAGAAGTTCTTGAATCTTGAGCCGGAGGGATCGCCATCAGGGTCTGTCGCAGTTCGGCCTTGGCTCTGCTGCTGTTGATTCGGTCATGGATGTACTAGTACAGTAGTACGTGAGGACTAGGCTAGGACTCGGCCAGCACTAGCTTTACTACTCGGTTAGGACTAGGGAGTCACAAGTCAAATCAAAACACACATCCATCACCCTTTCCCAGGTACTAGTACTACTACTACGTACCTTGATCCATTACCAGTATGGCAAGACGTAATTCGTACCGGGATCTTCGTCCAGGCCCGGACCAGTAAATGATCCACAGACCACGGGGCTGGCGAACGAGCCACGGAGGTGCTTCAATGCCTGCCTGCCTGCCTGCCCTATATCCTCTATCCCACGGAGTACCTCCTACCTTACCTACAACCTGCAAGGTGCGTGATTAGCCAAACACGTGCCTTTTCTTCCCACACGCCACCACCGACCGCCCTGAGTCAATTTCATGATGCCCATAACCCAGACCGCCTCGGGCTAATCAGAGCGACACTGTGACACATAGTTCGGGGCGAGGGGGGAAATCTTTTCAAATATATTTAAGGAGCCCCCGCGGCCCGCCCACCGGTGAGAATTTTTTTTTCATTTATTCAAAAATATATATATATATAGAGGAATCAGTCAGATCATACACGTCATACCACGTCCCGCGCCCTGACAATTTTCTTCGAATGCATGCCGCTTGATTTGGATCATTTGGAAGCACCAAGAAGTCGACCACCATACCTACCTACCTACTAGCCCTCACTCATTACACAAACCACCCTCGAATACTTCCGATTCGTTGATCCGTCTCCGGCGCTTGTGCCTTTGTTCAATCGCTCTCTTCACATTTGGGCGCTACCGCCACCCACCCAGCCAGCCAGTTAGCCAGCCAGCATTAGCTGGAACACTTGAAGATGCCTCACCGGGTATCCTCGTTCTTCCGGTCCCGTACCGCCTCATTCGAATCTCCAATAGCCTCCAAGAAGAAGAGGAGTCGCCGCTCTTCAAGCAATACACCTTCGGTCTATGGCCGAAACTTCTCCGCCTCCTCCGCCTCCTCCTCCTCCTCCTCCTCCTCTTCCTCCAACTCCTCCAACTCCTCCTCCTCCTCCACCTCTTCTCTGCTTCTCGAAGACCACGCCGTCACGATGCAGAGCGCTGTCAAGCGGCTGTCTCTTGGCCTTCACTCCCCAAGATTGTCTTCGCAGCACCGCCCCGTTACGCTCGACATGACGATTGAGTCTCCGCCGCTGATGATGTACAACTCTCCGGCGACGAGCACCGGCGCATTGCTTTCCGGTATCCTGAAGCTCCAAGTCAACGAGGACCGGATCTCGTTCGACGGCGAGTGCCAGATGTCGCTGGCCATGGAGGTCACCCACAAGGCACCGTTCCACGCTCATTGCGATGCGTGCTCCCACCAGCTCACCGAGTTGCAGAAATGGAAGTTTATGCAGGGTCCCGCAACCTTCAGACGAGGTGAGTCGAGGCATCATCCACAAGGCGCGGCGTGCGATCCGTGTGCTAATCGCAGCCCAGGCGAGCATACATTTCCCTTCAGCTTCCTCCTTCCCGGCCATCTGCCCGCGTCCCTGGACTCGCGCCTGCTGCGAATCGAATACGTCCTGCGGGCATCCATCACACCCCGGAGCGCCGAGACCATCAAGTACGTGCACGTCCTCGAGGTCAAGCGCGCCATCTGCCCCGCCGAGCAACCGCGCAAGTCGTTCCGCATCTTCCCTCCCACGAACCTGACGGCCAACTGCGATCTCCCCTCGGTCATCTACCCGATCGGCGAGAGCACCGTCGCCTTGCGCATCGACGGGTGTGTCAAGCGCAACCCGGAGACCAAGTCGCAAACGCAGTGGAAGATGAAGCGGATCAACTGGAGGCTGGATGAGACGGCCACGTGCGTCGCGCCTTCGTGCCTCAAGCACGGTGCCAAATGGACCGGGATGGAGAGTCTGAGGAAAGGCGTCGCCCGGAAGGATGTCCGCAACATCGGCACCGGGGAGATCAAGACGGGGTGGAAGGCCGACTACACCTCCGCCGACGGCACGATCGAGATGGAGTTCCCCTTGATGATTCGACCCGACGCAGACCCGATCTGTGATACCAAGACGGAGGATGACCTCGAGGTCTCGCACGTCTTGGTCGTGGAGATGATCGTGGCGGAGGAGTTTTGCCGCTTGAACAAACTTAGCCACGCCACGGCGACGGGCGCGGCGAGGATCCTGCGGATGCATTTCAACGTGACGGTCACCCAGCGCGCGGGTATGGGCATCTCTTGGGACGAGGAGCAACCGCCCCTCTACGAGCACGTCCCTGCCAGTCCCCCGGGATACAACGGTTCTTCCACCGAAGACTACTTCGGAGAGGATGTGGCTTCTCTCGTCCGTCGATGGTCTCTCGATGTTGGAGAGTTTTAACGTGGACTATTGCGGATAGTTAAAGCAAAAAAAGAAGAAAAAAAGAAGAAGAAAAGAA